TAACAATGCTCCTCACAAACTTTATAGACTAAGTTACTTTTAATTGTATTAAATCAAGATTAGAAATCGTTCCTCCATCCCCTTCCCCGCGCTACTAGTTGTTTGTTTGCTTTTTTGCTTATTTTGTAATTTTAAGTTTTACTTTCCTTTTATTGTTTTTTCTTTCTCTTTTTATTTTTATTTCTTGCTTTTTATCCTGTTTAATTTAATTGTAGCTAATGTGTGCTGTCAGAATTAATTAATTACTTCATGTTATTCGTTTTCCTAATGTAAGTAACTAACACCTGATGTAAATAAGTAATGTACATTGTAGTATCGGAGTAGCCATACCAGAGTACTTTGTTATTGTAATTTTTGTAATTTGTGATACGTGCAATTTGTTAAGACGTGTTACTTTAAATAATAATAAAAAAAAACCACTTGTCAGATGGCCTCTTTTTATCGCTTCTTCGATTACGACACTTAAAGATACCAGCCTTGAGGGCTAAAAATAGTGGCGTTTCAGGATGAAATTCAATCGTTTAAGTTCTGTGTTGGTTCTTTCAGTAAATGCTCTTGTAGTTAGTCCTTACTAGCTTTAGTAGCGAAGTTACAGGACGTTTTCTAATGATATCAGGCTCTGTAGAAAACTTCATGTGTGAATTTAACACCGCATAACCAATAAGGGATATGGCATGCAATTCAGTAATAGCTTTAGTAACAATTTAGCGAGCACTACTTACTAGTTGACTCCATTAGTCGCGGAGTAGAGTGGCTAAAAAAATTAGGAGTAGAGGTAAATTTGAAAGCAGTGAAGAACTCAGTGAAGGGTAAATTTATAACGCGGATTAGCGTTGATCTAATGCCCGTGTTAGTTGAAAGGCGTCTAAAACAACAGCTATAAACAGGTAGCAGTTTTTTCCCGCGCAACTAAGAGCCAAAGAAAGTAAACTGAATATTGATTATCGCTTTTAAGTCCTACGTTGATAAATTTAAAACTAAAATAGAAGTGATAGTATATTACTATGCAGCTCTAAGTGTCGCTTAAATATAATCTTCTCTTGGAGGTTTCTCCACTGGCTGGTAGCTTTCCTCGCCAATCACTCCTACAAACTCACTGACTCGTTCTTCCTCAGGGGCTACAGGGTTCAACACATCTTCGCATCCTTCTTGTTCCTTGTCTTTGGTACATCGAACGTATTCGTGGACACTCTCCTCCAGATAACTTAGCGGAGCGGAGCCTTGCGCCAAAAGATAAAAGTGAAAGTCCTTCAGGTCGAAATCGTCACCAAGTTCTTTTGTGGCGTATTCTCTGAGTTCAATGATTTTAAGCTGACCAATCATGTAGGCAGTAGCCTGTCCTGGGCCGCTCTGATATCTGGTGACTTCTTTCAGTGCGGTGTCGCTCGTGTCCCAGGCGTAATCAGCAAAGTAACCGAGCGCGTCAGTGCGAGAGAAACCTTTGTGATGTAAACCTGTGTCCACGATTAGGCGGAGCGCGCGCCAAACCTGAAATGGCATTACACTGACAGTAAATAATGAGTCATTATGGAAACGATCTATGTTGACTTAATTGAATTAATAAACACATGGCTTAGGTTTATAATTCTTAATTCAGTACTAAGGAAAAAAGCTGCCAACTGAAAAGATAAAGGGACGATCTGCATAGATATAGAAAAGTATGAGCGAACAAAAAGACGAGTGAATGATTGAGCGTGTCAAGAGAGAAGCAGTGAAAGATACCTGCAAAAAAATCTATTCAGTAAATAAACGAAAATCAGGCTAGTTAAGAGTATCTTCTCTTTTCTTTCCTTCATTAGTGAAACATGGCTCCAAGTGAGACTTTTTCCTTGAGCAAGTAGCTATTTGGAATGAACAATTTATCCTAATTAACTGATTATTTAGTTGTAGAGGTTAAGGACGTCCGCGGGAAAATTTTCCAACATTGATTTTTTTCTGAGACTTTTACCACTGTGAGATGATGAGTTAGTTATATCAGAAATGTAAAAAA